TATTATTATTATTATTATTATTATTATTATTACTTAATAATATTAATCACTGTCACAATACAAATATGTACACAAGATGCTGTACTTAAATCACGTGTTGTCACGTGATTTAAACCCAGACTCCAGTGACGGGAAGGCGCTATACTTTATTACTTCTGTCGACATTCGTATCGGTAAATTTTGTCCTAGCCAATCACGTTAAACAGTTATTATTTTTGAAATCTAAATAGTTGAATTCCCCAAATGGAGACATAAACATCGGCACTGTAACAGGCAGTAGTATCCAGTCGTACTTAGCAAGATTGAATCCTCGTTTGGACCAATTTATGGACAAATTTGTGCAACCCTCTACCTGTCTCTTATACACATCTAGATGTGTATAAGAGACAGATTTTAGCCTAATCAATACTTTGAATGTATCAGACTTTGTATACTGTTACTATTGGTAGTACTTCAACAGAAATATGAGTTTAGTATTAACCAACTCGTTGTTTTCATTCTTACAGGGAATTATTGGACACATCATTTGAAGGAATAACGAGGCATGTGAAGTTTGACAAAAAAGGTGACCTTGTCGGTGCATCCTACGAAATTATTAACTTAATGGCCAATTCGAAGAAAAACCCCAGTATGCATTGGAAAGTAGTTGGAAAATGGAACCATGGAGCCCTGAGCCTCGATACCTTAGTGTGGCCTGGCAAAAAGGACCGTCCATTCGGTATCGACACACAACGTATTCTAGTTGTAACAAATGTAGAAAAGCCTTTCTTATATTACGCTGAATCATCAAACTTTGATTGTGTAACTGGCAAAATGTGTATCGAGACAACAAACAGCGACCCTCTTGATATTACCAGAGAGATCCATAGACTAAAGACAGTGTCAGAGAATGACGAAGACATCAGTAGCAGACGATGCTGTCTAGGATTATGTGTTGATCTCCTGAATGAAATTAGTCGTGATCTTGATTTGAACTATGATCTCTACCTTGTCGCCGATCAAAACCACGGCGCCATTGAAAATGGAAGCTGGAACGGCATGGTTGGAGATCTGCTTCAGGGAACGGCAGACATCGCAATTTCTTCCTTTAGTATCACATTGGAACGTAGTGAAGTCATCGACTTCACAGCACCGTTCTTCCATTCTGGCTTTTCTGCCTTAGTTGCTAAGAAAAAACGCGAGCTAACATTTGGTGCCTTTCTGGCCCCTTTACATGGCTCTGTGTGGATTACAATTTTTATGTCAGCCATTGTAATATCATTTGCTATAACGTTCTTCGAGTGGGGTAGTCCATATGGACTACACCCAGCGGGTCGAAATAGGAAGTATATATTCGGTTTTCCGTCTGCCTTAAACATAACATTAGATGTGTATTATAGGCCTACTGTATATCATCCCGCCTTGTCGTTAAATGCTTAAGAACATAATAACGAATGCCTGTTCAATTACTCATGCGTGAAATAGTGTGAGGATGATTGCTTTAATCGGATTTAAATTTCAAACGAAGCCTCAATGGTGAGTTAGTTTATACGTCAGCACAGATAGAATATGCTCCCGCGTTTTCCCGCAACCTTTTTTTCACACTCGCAGATTCCTCTTCTTTAAGTTCAAAGTTGTATCCGTATACCGAACTCCAGCCATTGTTTCCCAGAGCATTGTTTTTTTTTTTCATTTATATCTTCGGATATCGATTTAATGAGATGGTTTAACATAGACCTAATTTAATTTTTATTTCAATATTCAATGCAGTACCTATCATTCAATGCCATTTAGATCACCTTTTCAGATGCAATACAAGTGCGGATCAAGAGATTTCCGAAAAGCGGACTTGACAACACTACCTATTGGGGTATGGTGAATTGTTTTTCTAGATGTCCGGAAATAACCTCTAAGGCGTTTTGGGCGATCAATAATTTATTTTTCTTTCTTTCTTATTTTTTGTTCATTTTTTTTTACTTTCCAAAGGTGGGGGAGGGGGGACTCTACTAATCCGCCCCTGTAATACATAAAAATCTACTCCTCATATTTTCCACTACCCTTCCCAATAAAGTATAATTTTCGGAACACTCTCTTTTCTTTCTATATTAATAATTTTTAACCATCCTTATTTTAAATTGTACAGTAATTTGAGTATCAAACTTCATTTTTCAGGAGAACCATCCACTATTTCTTCGTTTTGCAATATCTGAATCCAAACAAGCCAAGGTCATTCTGAGTCTTCTTCAACGTTACGCCCTCTATAAATTTGCACTTCTTGGTAGTCGCTCGTCATCAACTGAAGCATTTGTTCGAGAACTTAGACGTCTGACCAGTACTTCATCTGTCTGGGAATTCGTTGATTACATGACAATTAATGAGAATGGAGAGGATGTTGTCGAAGCATTGCAACAATTGGTAATAGACGATATTCGTGTGGTGATCATACATTGTAGTCCGCAAGAGGCCGCGGTACTTTTCAAAATCGCAAAACAGAAAGACGTCTTGAGTCAAGGCTATGCAATAATAGCTACGGAATCCCTGTTGACATATAACAAAAGCCTTTTAGTTCATTATCCAGAAGGCCTGATATCATTGAGGCTTATTGAACACGGAAATATAAATGATACTTTTCAGGACTCAAAAACTCTTATGAATATTGCAGTTAACAAAGTCAACGTTAGTTTCCATAACGTCGGTTGCCAAGGCATTGGAAGGAGGAGATCTAAGGAAGGGGATGCGTTATATAGGTGCGCTGCACTGTAACCATTAACATGAGATAAAAAATGTGTCAATAAATTCGTTTAATGCCATAATTTTTAACATTTGAAAACAATGTTAGAAACGGTTTCGAATGTCTGTTTTCCAATTGCTTCAAAGGGTTTGATTCTATCATATATTTCTAAAGTCAGCAATTTTCATCGAATTAATCAGCAGAAAATTAAGTTCTTTTTCCCCCACCCCTTAAAAAAAACCCCAAAAAACAAAATAAAACAAAACAAGAGAAGTACTCGATGAAATAGGGCCTATAATGATTTTAGCCTAATCAATACTTTGAATGTATCAGACTTTGTATACTGTTACTATTGGTAGTACTTCAACAAAAATATGAGTTTAGTATTAACCAACTCGTTGTTTTCATTCTTACAGGGAATTATTGGACACATCATTTGAAGGAATAACGAGGCATGTGAAGTTTGACAAAAAAGGTGACCTTGTCGGTGCATCCTACGAAATTATTAACTTAATGGCCAATTCGAAGAAAAACCCCAGTATGCATTGGAAAGTAGTTGGAAAATGGAACCATGGAGCCCTGAGCCTCGATACCTTAGTGTGGCCTGGCAAAAAGGACCGTCCATTCGGTATCGACACACAACGTATTCTAGTTGTAACAAATGTAGAAAAGCCTTTCTTATATTACGCTGAATCATCAAACTTTGATTGTGTAACTGGCAAAATGTGTATCGAGACAACAAACAGCGACCCTCTTGATATTACCAGAGAGATCCATAGACTAAAGACAGTGTCAGAGAATGACGAAGACATCAGTAGCAGACGATGCTGTCTAGGATTATGTGTTGATCTCCTGAATGAAATTAGTCGTGATCTTGATTTGAACTATGATCTCTACCTTGTCGCCGATCAAAACCACGGCGCCATTGAAAATGGAAGCTGGAACGGCATGGTTGGAGATCTGCTTCAGGGAACGGCAGACATCGCAATTTCTTCCTTTAGTATCACATTGGAACGTAGTGAAGTCATCGACTTCACAGCACCGTTCTTCCATTCTGGCTTTTCTGCCTTAGTTGCTAAGAAAAAACGCGAGCTAACATTTGGTGCCTTTCTGGCCCCTTTACATGGCTCTGTGTGGATTACAATTTTTATGTCAGCCATTGTAATATCATTTGCTATAACGTTCTTCGAGTGGGGTAGTCCATATGGACTACACCCAGCGGGTCGAAATAGGAAGTATATATTCGGTTTTCCGTCTGCCTTAAACATAACATTCGCGATTTTGTTTTGTCACACAATACGAACTAAGCCGCCGAAATGCATGACGAGTAGAACTCTACTAAATATGTGGGGAGGTTTTTCTGTCATATTTTTTGCTAGTTACACTGCTAACCTTGCTGCATTTATGGCAGGGCAAATGTCATACTTGCATATTGAAGGAATAAATGATCCTAAGGTAAGTTGATAAGACTGTCTGATTTTTGTGATTCCTACCTTAAGCTTACTAACAACGCGTTGGCAGTATGTCACTTGTTGCTCCACTGAGTCCATTGTCTTTAGTGATGATAGTGGCGTACCCTAACTACAGGTGTGCAAAACACGTGCACAGTCGCCGAACTGAGGGGGCGCTAAATAAGCATGGATAAATAGGGCTTCCAAATTCCAAAGATATTGATTCCAAAGTCTTTGGTTTTTGGTTTTTTTAATAAATTAAAACACTCTGAATTACAACTCTGTCATCGAAAACGATCAAGTCCCTTTTCAACTTTCAAGAGACAAAACAATTTTAGTTTTCAATGATTTGCAAAATATTATGTTTCAAAACCTTTGAATTGATTCCATGCCTATCAAAGTGCCACTTTAAAGAACCTATGAGCGAGCGGTATAATTTGGAGAGAAAGTTTAAGCCTAATAGCTCAACTTTTTTTTTTTTATTGTGATAAGCTAATATTCGTCAACCATCTTTGTATCGCAATGCTATTATTTTTATGTTCAATATTCCCTATTTAGCACTTGGTACAATGAGTGCTAATAGCGAACTTAATATTATAGTAGGCCTATATAATATATAACTTAATATTGCGGTATAATATATAACTTAATATTATTATTATTATTATTATTATTATTATTACTTAATAATATTAATCACTGTCACAATACAAATATGTACACAAGATGCTGTACTTAAATCACGTGTTGTCACGTGATTTAAACCCAGACTCCAGTGACGGGAAGGCGCTATACTTTATTACTTCTGTCGACATTCGTATCGGTAAATTTTGTCCTAGCCAATCACGTTAAACAGTTATTATTTTTGAAATCTAAATAGTTGAATTCCCCAAATGGAGACATAAACATCGGCACTGTAACAGGCAGTAGTATCCAGTCGTACTTAGCAAGATTGAATCCTCGTTTGGACCAATTTATGGACAAATTTGTGCAACCCTCTACGGAGCAAGCTATCGAAAGTTTACGGTATGTCCATATGTCCGTCAACACTTATAATCATAATATCAGCACCTTTAGCTTACCATCAAAACATCTATTATGCCGAACGTTTTACAATTGTGTAACAAACTATTTTTTCATCAATTTGTGTCTGTTTGGTTCCATTATCAAGGACTTTATTTCGAAAGACCTGCCTATTTGTTTACTCAGGAAGTACGAGAAGATATCCTTATGTTTCATTAAAGCTGAATTGGATTATAATTTCGTTATTATCATTATTCATCCTCAGTGGCGGGTCGTGAAATCTTTTCTGAGACTTTAAGATGTCACCATACCACTGTGTGTCATTTTAATCTCTTATCTAACTAATTTCACACTCCCTGCTGCCGGGATGGGGTGGAGCGCCCCTGTCAGTGCCAACCTCGGATCTGCCCCTGATCAGGAATGTCTATGTAACAGACCTGATGCGCTAAGTTTGGATATTGTTGGTAATAAGTCCCACTAAACGAAATCGTAAACGCGAAGTTATTAATTAATTGGAACCAAAAAATTAATTTTATACAATAATTTTAAAAATTAATTACTAATAATTAGTAATTGCAAACCCTACAAAAAGTACCACAACAAATAATGATACACTACCGTTCTTAATCTATGAATTTCCTTCTATTTTTAAAGGAATGGAGACCTTGATGTATTTTTATACGACTCTCCAATAATCGATTATAGGATGTTGAATGACCCAGACTGTAAGTTAGTCAACGTGGGGAGCCCATTTGGAGAGGAAGGTTTTGGAATCGGTCTCCCTAAAGGTAGGCCTGACGTACTAACACACGGACACGACCCAGGCAATAGGAAGATTTCGCAACCTACACGAAAACGTCGTTACCATTATCGTCATTCGTGCCTAAAACATTCTTGAACAATTCGTCGCTCACATCACGAACTAACACAATTAAATTCAATTGTGTTAGTTCCTGAAATCAAAAAAGCGCGTCAAAATACGCGCTGTTGTCGTTAAGGACTTTTTGTGTGGTAAAGAATACAAAATTGCTTGACAACCAATACGCTCGTTTTGACGCGCTACTGTGATTTCACGAACTAACACAATCTACTTTGATTGTGTTAGTTCGTGATGTAAGCGACGAATTATAGGCCTATGCTGTAGGAGCTGAATATGTTTCCTACGCTGTGACATGCTACTCTATGGGAAGGGTTGTCTAAAAAGTTGATGACGAACCGTATTTGTTATCGTTTTAAGCTTGCGAAAACTCCCTATTAACGTTTAAGCGATGATATTTATAATTCATAATTCACTTGTTATGCGTGATTGAAATTTTCATAATTATTATGACGTCCGTCATGATGTCAAGGTTAATCCATGCCACCACTTTTAATAATAAAACAAAAACAGTTAATGTTGAATAAAGAATTATAATAATGTCGATACTAATGTTAGTGTTAGTAGCAGTTTACGACTGAAAGCAATGATATTCTGCAAGCTTTCACCCCAATCGACAAACCTGCAGATGAGCTCTCGGGTTGATTGAGGTAAAATATAGTTCTAACATATATTGTTACATAAAGGTTTTGCTGATTCAATTTAACATGCCGAATTTTATTGACTAGAAATGTTCAGAAAAAACTTATTTAACATCAGTTGGCTGAAGGGGACAAAGGTGTCCGTCATTTTTCTTATAAGTGAAATTGAGTATGTTAGAAAGGAATTCATTTTTCCTACAGAAAATGTGATAAACATTCATTAGGCCTGGAGTTCTTAAGATACAAATAAATACTCTTCGCGAGTAATAAAAAGTACCCAGCGTCCGGGGAATTCAACTAATGTATGGTTTCCAAGCTGTCACTATGCTGGCATTTATAGCAACATGTATCGCAGTCATAAATCGAAGTGATAAAGCTATTGGATACCATTCTGGGAATCTAACCTATGGATCAATAGGCCTACATCGTTTGCCTAAAGCAAAATTGCGTTTTCTTTAAAGCATTTGCGTTTTTTTTTTCCAATAAAACTGGTGTTGTAATGAATAGCACTGACAAATGAATATCTTTTTGTTTGCAGATAATGATAAACTTTGAGATAACAATTAAAAATTCGTCCCTAATTATGGCGCTTAAACAGGCTTCCTTTATGGGCCTATGTCCGCATTATAAATCAGTTTTATAATAATAATAATGAGAATGATGATGGCGATGATGATGCAAATGATTATGATGATTTATGGTAATGATGATGGTAATTGTAATCATGGTAACGAGGATGATAATGGTGATGAGGAGGATGATGAAGATTTTGAAGAAGAAGATGATGACAATGATGACTATGATGAGGCTGATGATAATTCGCGTACTGAGTATTCAGTACATTTCACGTTCGGTAGGGCAAAAATTACACCTATACATGTTTCTCCTGACGCAAATCCAGTTATTGTCTATTCAATCACGACAATAACAATTACTATCAAAAATAGTTGTGTTGGAAATTATTGATAGGATAAATAAATAAATAATAATAAATACCATAAATTGATACCATGGATTCGTTTGTCGCTATTGCAGGTTCTACATTGAAAATACCATTATCGACTATTTTACTTCAATATGAGATGGACGGTCGTCTGGAGCAGCTTCATCGAAAATGGTTCGATGCGGTTGGTTGTTTGAAGGAGGATGTCCTGAACCCCCAAACCGGTGGTAACGATAGCAGCGTGACAGTGAGACATGTTGCAGGTAAACATAGCGAGGCATGGAAATATAAATCATGCCATTAAGGAAATCGGTACAAATATTTACACTTAGATTTTATGATGTTGCTTATTATGCCGGGGGTGTTTGTAGCCAATATTATCTCCATTTCATTGTTCTTATTACGTGACAACCGAGTTTAATAGCTATATAGTAGAGATCAGTGGTTTCAGTAAGTTCCTTACTGAGATTTCCTGACTCAGAAGGGCGGATGAGCTCTTCGGAGTCAACGGTCGGATTAGTTTGTCTTTAGGGTTAGATTATACTAGTACTTTCTTCTTGTTTTTTTTTTCATGTTTATGTTAAGCGCAGAGGTCTCCATAATATGCGCTATATAAGTCTATACAACGATTATTGTTATTATTATTATTATTATTATTATTATTATTATTATTATTATTATTATTATTATTATTATTATTATTTTCTTCTAATATTATGCCAAATACCATATCTTCTATAGATTAAAACCTATAATACAGTACCTTAATATTAGGATAAGAATGTCATTTAAAACAAATTAATCAAATTCAATTGCATTACATTCTTTTCAGGTTTAATTGTAATGTTGATATTAGGAATCGTAACAGGATTCCTGCTCCTACTCTGTGAGTTTGCAATGCACAAATGGGGAGTTCCTCATCTGAGGAAAAGACCAAGAAACAAACGGAATTTCCTTGTAATTAGCCAGGTAATACTTTATGATATACAGTTAAACTTGCCGAAGTCGACTTTGCCTAACTCGAATAATTTCTAAGTCGATCTTATTTTGTTATGCCAAATTGTTGTGTTTTCCATTAATTAACGATCTGGGTAAGTCGATTTTTTTAAAACAATTTTTCAATGCCATTTTGGATTCGACTTAGGCAAGAGTTATATAGGCAAGCATAAAAAAATCAATGCGAATCATAAACTAACGAGCAATTTTGGTTTCCTATTTGACGTCACACATCCAAAATTCCTAATCTAAAATTTTTCATCTCGTAGCCTCACGGCCAAATTGCATGTAAATTACAATTTTCGGTAAAACTAATATATGACGTCACACATTCAAAAGTGAATATGATATTAAACGTTAATTGAAAATCTGACGTGACACATTCAAATTAGAACGTAAAATTATGCACTAAAATGCGCATAATTATAATTATGACATCAGCTTCGATTATATACTGGTACTGGTATAGATAGACAGCTTTTACAAGACATTCGGCAGACACTATAGTCATTCACATGATCATGAACAATGACACATTAATGATGATGATAATGATTACGGTGATAGTGATAATGATGGTGATGATGGCTAAGTTGAATATCAGATACTTATCAAATACAATGCAGAATGTTATATATTTCTTTATGATATTACTAACAATCTTATTCTTCACACTTTCTGATATACAGCGTATCCATAACGAAGTTAACAGTGGTAATACTCAATCGTCGTCTTCCAATATCAAAGATCTCGTGGCTCTCGTGAAAAACGGCGAGTTTCGAAAAATGCTTCACAAAGAGTAATCACCGTTCGTAGGATTAGAATACAAATTTGATACTATACAATAGACCTAAAGTGATCTTATATACAGTATATAACTTTGGCTAAAGCATACGACGATTGATGGTATTTATGATCACCCCTGTGTACGTAGTGGGTGTTAATGACATCTTAAGAATCTTGCCGCGACAGAGTACCAGTCGTAGAGGGACGTCCTACCATCACCATCAGATGCCATCGTCTGCTATGGCAGTAGTGTCACATCTTTTCTGAATATCATTCCTAAGAAAAAAACGACAGTTCCTCTTCCGATTGTTGGTGAAAATATTTCTTGCTATCCATCATATTATCTTGTCTTCTTGAAGGACGATGTTTGTTTTCAAATTTTATTAAAAAAAAAAAAAGAAGATGTATATAATATTTTAAAATTATATTATTTCAAAATGTATTTAGTATTAAGCAAATCTTGTCCCACAAAATCCCTGGTAGTGCATTCTTCAATATACAGTACCTGTGACTTGACTGTATATGGGCATCAGTGGCGGCGCCAGTGGGGGGAAAGGGGGTGTAAGTCCCCCACCGGACAGGTCAAGCCCCACCCTCCGTCGGACAATCAGACCATAAAAATATATATAAATAGGCCCACACTAAGCCAACATTATGTCTGTCACAGTCTGAGAGTGCCATTTCCGGCCATCCAGAGGCTGCTATTCTTAAAGAAAATCTCATTTGGGAGGGAGAAACCTCTTTCAACCCCTTCCCCCAGCTCGCGCATACGATCTCAAGTCCTCTCGTCAGCAGATTACCCACTCCTCCCCCCACCCAAGAAAATATATCCTGGAGCCGCCACTGATGGGCATGTGAGGTCATATCACACCCATATACTGATGGGCAAATCTCAGCTATTTATCGTGTGACTCAATATAATGGTGTAATATTCTGGATAATCTTAGAATGTAGTTTATCATTTAAATGATATTTATGAAAATATTTTTACAATTTTTTTTAATTGGTGTAATTATTATAAAGATGAGATAATTCATTAAGCCTTATCGCTCTTAGAAGAGACTGATTAACAAAACTATGCCTTATATGTCGGTCATTTTAACCTGAGCTAGCTCTCTGCCAATCATGTTTCTTCCGAGGAACCATGTGATGGCCTAGACACGCCCATAAAGAATAGTTTTTAATTTAATTTATGTTATCAAAATTAGATTTTATTTTTTAAAATAATCAATATAACTATCTTTCATGTTTATGGTGATTATTGTTACTTTGATGACTTTGCAACTGACAGAATATTAATAAAAGAAAGTAGAAACACAAATCATTTTGTTATTATATATTTTACATTGAAGTACATATTCGCAGACCATACATGCATCCAAGTGCTTAGGAGCAATACAGTATAATGAACTCGGTTTACACTTAAATATTGTCCACCTTGGTCATTTAGATAAAGAGGCAAATTCATTGATAAAAAAACAGAAAAGCCTCTAACCAATAATTATCCAAAATACACCAATCATTAATAATGAACCCATATGAATTAAAATTTAAAGATATGTTGCCTGTGATAAAATACAGCTTTTCTTTATTAAATAAACATTATTATATTCTAGTACCGTAGTTCCTTGAGTATAAATAAACACATTATTACTTTATGCCCAATTCTACATACCAGCTAAAATTTACAAATATTTTCAGCAAAAAAATATCGAATATTGGCTTTGAATTAGGCAAACAGTGCTGGGAAATTAACATTTGATTAAAAAGGGGATTAGTCGGGTATAACTCCACCCCCAAAAATTTCCCCAAATTTTTGTTCAAAGGGAGTTATATACCAAAGGAATTACAGTAGTGAATTTAACAAATAATTGACATACAATGCTTACGTTTAATGTTAAAACACTTTACGCACATTATTTTATGTTTCATAGAAATACAGTAAAAAACACAGACAACTAAAAGATCCAGTTTAAGACCAAATCTTCAGAATACCAATGAAATTTCCAAATCAATTTATCAAGAAAATTAAATTAAATGTAACATATTAATACTGAATAACAATTTTTGGGTAAAAAAATATATGTGGGTGAAATATCTCAAATTATCAACAAAAACTACAGCAATTTAACAATGACCTATACTATTATATTGTTATCATTAATAAACACTAATGAATATTAATTAGTACAGATTAATTGATTTAAATTTGTTCAGTTATGAAACCTAAAATAGAAAAGGAATCTTCTTCTTTCAAGTTTCAATCCCACCACAGCAAGAAACCCTGTCTGTATTGAATAGCTACCAAACACTGAAATTCAATGTATTATAGTACGACTTTATGCCAAGGTTTTCCTCCCCAAATACTTAAAAAAAGGTAATATTTTTTAAAACAATCACAAAACGACGATTGTACAGAAGTTTATATGGTCCCTTATAAACAGTATATGCTCAGAAAAACCACAATTTTAAATTGATAGAAACAATGTCAATATCACAACAATACCAAATTATTTTAAACAAATACATAAATCAAAAACCCAAGACAAACCAAATTTAACCAAGACATAGTATGGTGACAAAGACCATTAATGTGACCATGTCACCAAAATAGTATAATGCCATTACTGTTCAAATTGAACAGTTTTGTATTTACTAAACTAGTAATATTTTTAAAAACAAACAAAAATACTATGCATTGTCATAGCATACATAATTCCTGGGGTAACTTCATCCCATTTTATTGCAACTAAGTTATATACTAGTATTCTCGTGCCGTATGTCCACCTTAATGGGCAGCGGCTCTGCCATTGAGCCCTGGTCAAACGATTCAGCCACACATACAGGGTACTTCTTCATCAGATCCTCCCATTCTGGGTCTAAGTACTTATATGTTTTCTGAAACGAATGAAACAAAATCTCCTTTTAAAGTTTAATGTATATGAATAGTTTATAAACTTGAAGAATAAAAAAGTTTAAAGTTAACAAGAAAATATTTTTTTCGCTGAACCACACAATGTGTGTATAATACATTCCTGTATACGTAGGTAACACAATAAAGGTTAATGTTGAATAGACACACACTGCCTTAATCCTAATATGGATAGCGTTAAAATGAATTCATTAGAACAGTCATTTTAACTATTGAATTTTTACAAATTTTCACAACTTTATTGTATTGTAGTTAAGACATTTTATATCTGTATTTGAATGGAATTAAAAGAGATGTTATTGTTAGTCACCGTCTCAAAACAGGGGCGGATCCAGAAATGTCCAAAAAGGGGGACCAGAAACTGGCCGAAATTGGGGCTGATTGAGATAACAATACCCTAGGGGTCCGGGGAATTCCCCCGCAAAATTTCTGTGTTTTAGACACCCGAAAATAAGCCCTAAGGCCTTTTTGGGTAATCAATTTTTTCTTTTTTTTTTTTTTTGACATTCCAAAAGGAAGGGCCGGGACCAGCCCGGTCCCCCTCTAAATCTGCCCCTGAAAAAGATTGTTGAGTAAATAAATAATTAGAGAGAATTAATTATATTATGATTACATGGATTAGGACAACAAAGAGGAAGAGAGAAACTTTGAGGTCTTAACGATTGAAGATCTTGTAAAATGTGCAATGTCAAATGATGTCTAATAGTGTTAAAGACGATGATGATAAAATGAGCAATTTATTGTTTTACTGTATTTTGAGAATCTTATTAATATTTGTTTTTAAAATCTATTTTAATAATTTACATAAGAAAATATATTCTTGGTTTGCATATAGGTCGAAGATTATAAGACTCAATCCCTTCAAAAGCCAATAAAAGACCATATCTACCTAGCATGACAATGTCCAGGCATATGGTACAATACAACTTGTAACAATGAATATAACAATTTAGTTAACAATTGGAATTGGGAATTCTAGGTCAAGTACGGACAACTTAATCAAGTTCGAGTTCACTGGAGAAGTGTACAGCGTAAGGCAAAAAATGAAGACAGAAAGGTACAAGTTCAAGCAGAAAATGAGAATTAGTGTGTGGTCAGAATTTTGGAGGTAGATGAAAATAGAAATGTAAAAGGGGGAAGGGGAGGGGGACAGAGCAGTGGCAGTGCCATATATCCCCCCGAGAGGGGGCTCAAGGTCCCCCAACAAGAGGTTCAAAGTAACTATTGTTACATCAATATTGATTGCAATAAAGTATATGATTGATTGATTGATTGATTGATTAAACACTATACAGACTCCACCAACATTTTTACAAGTGGTGTGGTACATATTTGGTATCACACAGGATACAAATATTATTATTATTATGAAAGAAACTATTGTCACCAAAGAGTAGAGAATTGCAAGAGGTCCGACTGTCTTGATTTTGCATGCACACAATGAAACGAAAAACAAACTACCACGAGATAGGGGGTGCCCTTTTAGAATACAAATAGAGTTTGAAACTCAAACATGCCTTCTATTGATGCAATACAAATGCCTTTTATGTTCTTTTGAAGTGCACCCTCTAGTTTGTGGTAGTACTTTTTGAGGTAGGATTGTGTTTCAACGAAACTACGAGAGTCGGACTTCTTGCAGTTCTATACTTTTTGCTGTCATCCAACTTAACTCAGAGACAGTTATGATTCCAAAATATAAATTGATGGATGCTCTACAAACCTTGGGTGTTATGACTCGTTGTGGTTTAGCTGTCGAACACGAGGCAAATCCAAGCCAGATCATAGAGGCAGACGACAGGAAGAGGATAAGTGAAATGAGCCATTCAGGGAGGCCAGACCGATATGAAACGCAGGACAACCAATCACTCGTGTTGGACGTGTAGCTGCTGTCATACGATGGTGAAGTGTCGACGACATCATCCACCACTGAACGAAAAAAACATAGAAAATGGACAAATTGATGTAGAAAGTTGTTAAATATTCAAACTATTTCAACAGTTATTTTTTGTATGGTTTACAAACAATAAATTTATTGATATAAAATTAATAAGGTTCAAAAAGAATAAAGCTGACAGGTTGTGCTGTTTACACTATCACTCCTAACAACCAAGGCTACCAGATGAAGCCATCTGGTAACATGCCAAAACAACTAATCAGGATTTTTGTGCTTTATATCAATGAATTTTGATACCAGTAAAGCCACTTGTTAATTTAAAAATATTGAATTTAATACTGATGGATAATGCATAAATTGGAGAATGACTTAACACACTGTTTCATTGCCTGGGTAACACAACAGATCTTCCACAAAACAATCAATGAGGATTACTGACCTTTCACTGTAAGTGCTTTCCAGGTAAACACATAAGGAAGACTAAGATTAAATACCATGCCTATTGTTGTTGGGTATTATAAGGCCTACTGTAGCTTATTTATGTATAAATGTACAACACACTAGTATTGTCATGGATAACAATCTCATCCGACAGTGAATGACTCACCTCTCTCATCATGAAAGTAGTGTTTTGTTTAAAGGCTTAGGGAATGGATCTTCTTTTCACTTATGAGAAAAATTTTGATGTGGGATTTGAACCCAGTATTCATACTGCTGTTTGAGATATTATTATTTACCTAAAACCTGATCTTCATTTAGATACTGTGACTGAAGTGTAAAGGTATCGACTCTTGGTTTCGACTCAAATACATAGACAATGCCGTTGTCGGACTGCATGAACACCGACCAGGAACTCATGATCATTCCGTGAGCATTGTCCACAATCTCACGGTATATGTTCTGCATTGTGAGCAGTGGTGTCAGCAAGTGAATCACTGGTTCCATTTGGGCATACTAGAAGAACAAATAGTTGAATATTTTTTCAATTTTTAAAAAAAAAAAAAAATTAAAAAAAAATTAAATTTAAAAGTAGTTTTTTGAAAATAATAAAAATTGGGGCAGCAGAGGAGGTAAAAACAATATATTTTTTAGGCCTTTAGCATATTTACCTTTTCCCTTAGCTGCATGATGTATGGTACTTGGCTTGCGCATCCAAGACAGCAGGCAAAACATGCACCTTCACTCATATCATCATATGCTTCTTTGCATGCTGAAAATATGATTCAGTACAATAATTTAACATGAATATATTACCCCTGGGTCTTTAATAGGTCGCCCATGGGCCAAATTTCGCCCCTGGTGCGATTAAATCTTCCCCATGTG